AGTAGATTTGAAATGCACAAGGCCCCATGACGTCAAATTTTACTATAAAAAATAGTCCCAAAAACACGAAACAAATTTATTGACTATTTATATTTACCGTAGTCAAATATCAACATTTATAAAATAAACAACAAAAGAATTTTAAATGATGATCAAAGTAATCTTGTTGACTTTAGTTATATATGTGACCTAGATTTAGGTTGTCGGAAGCACGAACATATATAGGCACTATGTCACTTCTCCGCCGCCATATTGAATGCAATGTTGCAGTTGATGAAACGGGAGCTGGTCAGCATGGTCAGGAAACCGATTTGTATGGATGTTATAATAACAGAAGAAGCTGAGTTGCTTAAGAAGTCGGATGATAATGACTAAGGGACGATGTCTGTATCAGATGATGGAGTACGTGCAGATGTCAATTTCTCCACGTGGCTGTTACGGAAGTGGAGTTCTCGGACTCGCGAGGCCTCGATGATAGTGGACAGCGTTGCGCTAGTGACTTGCTTTCGTTATTTATTTTGTTTGTTAAAAAGATATATCAATCAAATTACTTAGTAAACAATTAAACAAAACATCTATTTTTTCTTGAGTATATTTATACGCCAGTGATATACATGCAGGTTGACACCTGACCTTTCAGTAATAGAGAAATATACATACCACAGGGTATTATCATGTACGGAAGCGTATTAGTGCCACTTGGACACTTCACTTTTTTTTTTATTTCTACACATTAAAGTGTAAATTTTACACTTTAATCTGTAAATTTTACACTTTAAAGTGTAAATTTTACACTTTAATCTGTAAATTTTACACTTTAATCTGTAAAATTTACACTTTAAAGTGTAAATTTTACACTTTAAAGTGTAAATTTTACACTTTAATCTGTAAATTTTACACATTAATCTGTAAAATTTACACTTTAATCTGTAAAATTTACACTTTAATCTGTAAATTTTACACTTTAATCTATAAATTTTACACATTAATGTAAATCTGTAAATTTTACACTTTAATCTGTAAATTTTACACTTTAATCTGTAAATTTTACACTTTAATCTGTAAATTTTACACTTTAAAGTGTAAATTTTAAACTTTAATCTGTAAATTTTACACATTAATCTGTAAATTTTACACTTTAATCTGTAAATTTTACACTTTAATCTGTAAAATTTATACTTTAATTTGTAAAATTTACACTTTAATCTGTAAATTTTACACATTAATCTGTAAATTTTTCACTTTAAAGTGTAAATTTTACACTTTAATCTGTAAAATTTACACTTTAATCTGTAAAATTTACACTTTAATCTGTAAATTTTACACTTTAAAGTGTAAATTTTACACTTTAATCTGTAAATTTTACACATTAATCTGTAAATTTTACACTTTAAAGTGTAAATTTTACACTTTAATCTGTAAATTTTACATTTTAATCTGTAAATTTTACACTTTAATCTGTAAAATTTACACTTTAATCTGTAAAATTTACACTTTATTTTGAACAACCTGAACTGCAATAGATTATGATCGAACGGTCGATTTGTGATGTTTTACCTCTGACACTTTACAAAAAGTATTAAACTGAGATGTTTACAATTGTTTGTATATTTTTATTTTACATGTACTCGTACTTGTTTATTAGTATATGATAAACAACAATGGACTATTTCCTCATGGGTCTCGTAATTTTACCCAGCATAAGATACTTGTATCAGGGATCTGCATTTGTTTCAGTATATATACATGTGTTCCTTTAGTTTTACTATAGTGTAACGAAAAGTAAAAATATATATCTCAAAGATTTTTTTATTTGCAGTACAGATTGATATTTCGCTTCCGTAATTATCTTGCATGATAAACGGTCTGTTGGCTTTAAAATGTGTTACTGGGAATGTGTGAAGTTGCTAAATTGACTATGTGAATAAACAAATAAAGTGTAAAATTTACAGATTAAAGTGTAAATTTTACAGATTAAAGTGTAAAATTTACAGATTAAAGTGTAAATTTTACACTTTAAAGTGTAAAATTTACAGATTAAAGTGTAAAATTTACAGATTAAAGTGTAAAATTTACGGATTAAAGTGTAAAATTTACAGATTAATGTGTAAAATTTACACTTTTAAAGTGTAAAATTTACAGATTAAAGTGTAAAATTTACACTTTAAAGTGTAAAATTTACAGATTAAAGTGTAAAATTTACACTTTAAAGTGTAAATTTTACAGATTAAAGTGTAGAAATTAAAAAAAAGTGAAGTGTCCAAGTGGCACTAATACGCTTCCGTAATCATGAAATTAACAAGATACACTTTTGTATCGTTTATCATAGAGAAAACAATTGGAAATGGAAATATTACATTTTACATGCTTTTACTCCGAGTTTATAGTTCACGCACATTGAAATAATTTTGGAGATTTTGGAGACCTTAAAACATTTTTTAAAAATCCCCTTCGGAAGTAATTGTGCCACATAACTAGCAGACATGTATTTTATATCCATGTAATGCAGGATTAATTCAATCCTTCTATATGAAAAAAAAAAACTTGCATTGGCACTCAATTAAACATTTATATAATTATTAAATGATTCGTCCCAATTATAAACAATATTTAGCTTCATTTCTACTTTGATTTTATATAATTATTCTTTTTAGCGCAGAATCAAAGATACAAAAGATAATCACACACATGTTTCATGTTTGGATATTTTTACTTGAATTTCAACCTGACATTTTTTTTTATATCGTAAACTTCCAATATTTATATAGGATTACATCATAGGAATGTCCTATTATGAATAATTTCTAAAACGATGGACAAATAAGTTGACGATATGAGGATATAAACAGTCTCGAATAACGTCAACCTTTTCGTAAAATGTTATCATTGCAATGTCCTTCTTTGGAAATACAATACAGGTACATAATGTATGTTCATTACCGCTCCTCTAGTAGGAATGAAAGTTGTTAAAAGAGTGCAATATATCTTTTCATGAAACTGAAATGGATTTGTGCAACAATTTTCTTGTAGTTTTATATCAGTCTTGGATCTTTGAAGTCTTAGAAACGTTCTTGCAAAGAGATGAAGGTAGCACCTTATAAAATTACAAAAAAACATTTTTAGAAAATCAAATTACATTTATCACGTTTTTATCCAGCCTTAAACCGTTACATTTAAACACTATATGAACTAGTGCTAATTGTAACGGGGACCGTTACAGATGTTCCCCAAACGCTCCCCAACTCCCTTTTCGTGCCATATTAACTGTAAGCTTTATTAAATAAGACAAACTCTATGAATTTGAGACGTTAACAACGTATACCCAGAAGTGTACTAAGTTAATTCAAATTTTAGCATTGCACGCGTGCACATGGGAATGCATGTGCGTAATGACCATATCATCTTGTCTACATCTATATAATTTATTTTAATATACTAAATATTCAAGTTTTTAATCCAAAAGTATTAAAGATACGCTCATTCAAGTGTATTTTTGATTTTACTCATTTCAAGTGCACGCACGTGCATACATGAGCATGGTGATCATACCTTCTTGTAGAAGTCCACTACATCTATCTATGTTCTAAATTCCACCCCGTTCGGTTGAAAACCAAGGGTGTTATAGCTGTTTAAAGTTTCAGCCAATCAGATTGCAGCCCACGTACACGCACGTGTATGCATGTGCATGGTGACCATACCTTCTTGTAGAAGTACATTATATCTATCTATGTTCCAAATCCCATCCTGTTTGGTTGAAAACCAAGGGAGTTATAGCTATTTAAAGTTTAAGCCAATCAGATTGCAGCGCACGTGCATACACGTGTTTTCTTGACAATTGCTATATATCTTCTTGTAGGATATCCTAATGCATGGCTATGTTCAAATTTTCAAAGAATTTTGTCAAAAAACAAGAAAGATATTGAGACTTTAGTTTCAGCCAATCAGAGCGAAGCACACGTGCATGCGCGTGAGATCTTGCTATTTTGACCATGTCATATTGTCTATGCTACTAATATATCCTTATATTATGAGTTTCAAAGCATTTCATCAAAAAGGTAAAAGTTACACCTATATCAATTAAATCGGTCATTTCACGTGTTGCACGTGCACGCTCTTGCAAGCACGTGCGCGCAAAATGACCTTGGTTCCGCAAATCTACATAACATGCCTACTGACCCTAAAAAGATTTTACCTAAGTCAGATGTGTAGTTTACAAGATCATTCCCGGACAAAAAAGTACCCAGGAAGAAGAAGAAGAAGAAAAATAATAATAATAAGAAACAGAGTAAAAACAATATGTTCCCCAACTTCGTTTGGGGAACATAATTAAGAACTTATGATAGCCAAGGTTTATTACACTAGTATGTATTTCAAAACAGTTAAAGAAAGTAAAATGCCTCAGGTACAAAAATATGCAATTATTTTATAAACTGTTAAGCTTGTTAACCATAAATCAATGTGTTGATAATAAAAGTTTCAATAAGAAAACGAATATCTTGTTCTTCTCAATACAAATTGGCTCCGTGATCAGAAGGTCATGTGTTAGAATCACGGCAGCGACTGAACTTAGTCAAATAAAAATAAATTGAAACTGTTCCTTCGCCAAGCGCTCGACACTTTGAACTGAAAGTTTCGGGTCTTTCGGAGAAGACCTTAAAACCGAGGCCCCGTGTCACGATGAAGAACCCTCACTGCCCAATGGCCCTGAGTGCCCATTGAAGACATTCTACAGTATATTGTGGTGTCTCTATATGATTGGAAAATACAATCAATCTCAATCAATACATACAAATTACTCAGACATTATTTCACACTGAATTATAAACGGATTTTCTGTGTATCCTTTTATTACAAGGGGAACAAGGTTGGAGTGGATGCCGTTGTTCCAATGGGAAACCTGATTTAACTTCTGTTTTCACAGAAGGTGGATTAAAATGGAAAGTTGTGTGGCTCTGACTCATTCGAAAAAGCGTTATACCCTTTTTAACAAAGAAAAAGTGTCAATTTTTTAAAAACTAGTTTTTTTTTTATTTTTGTTTTATTTTCAATTTTTATTTAAAGTATTGTATCATTTATCTCTGTTTATATTGAAAATTCAGACTTGACTACTTTTTATCCATTCTTGTTTACGGAGCAAACTGAAAAATAAAAAAAATTAGATCATCAATGGAATGATCAAACAGCAGTTCAGAGAGAGAGAGAGAGAGGGGGGGTGGAGAAAAGATTATTGATATAATTAAGTACAAATCTAAATACATGTAATGTAATAAAATGTATGTCATCAAAGCACAATTCATGGTTTCCTTTTCATTCAGCTCAGTCTAATATTTTAAAAATTTCAATGCATATACATTTGACAAGATTATTCAAAAATAAAATCAGAGTAAATTGCAATATCAGAAAATATAATGGAAAATGCAAGGCAAATTAAAAGTCTTCTTAGAAAACTGTGTTACCTGATGTGTCCTGTTTCTTAAGCATAGCGATTCCAAGTCCCAGCAAATCGTTGTGTATATTTAACAGCATATCTATTGACGGATTGGTGGTTTTTGTCAGGACAACGTAGTAGGTTCCCGTTCCATTGACGCAATTTCCCGTTGTGACGTCATAGTTATTTTTAGTTTCCACCTTAACGATCTGATAGGGTTCCTCTGGACTTTGGATATGCAGCAAAGCTAAATTGTTGAGATGGCCTTTCAACAGAAAACAGAAAATAATATGTATGCATGAATTTTTTATAACTTCAAAAGATCTACTACTCCTGTCGGAATTTGGTCCATGTATTCATGTATATTTTTTTGCCCCGTGGGGATCCGGGTTAGAGTAGGTCCTCAGTACCCCCTTGCTTGTCGTAAAAGACGACTAAATGGGGCGGTCCTTCGGATGAGACCGTATAAACCGAGGCCCCGTGTCACAACAGGTGTGGCACGATAAAGATCCCTCCCTGCTCAAAGGCCGCAAGTGCCGAGCATAGGACTACATTTGCAGCCCTTCACTGGCAATGGTGACGTCTCCATATCAGTGAAATATTCTGGAGAGGGACGTTACACAGTATACAATCAATCAATCAATCATGTATATTTTTAAGTTTTGCTTCAGTTTGAAATCACAAAAATATCATTATCTGTTTTAGATACAATTATACATGTCGTGATTGTATTAAGCAAAAAAATATAACTTGTTTTTTCCAGCAAAGGAACTCAATATAAAAAGAATAAACAAAGGATTATTAATTGTTAAAATGTATTATTTTCTAATACATGTACTTACACGTCTTGTAAAAATTGCTAAAGATCATTGGTTTCGATTTTGTTCCCATTTTCAGCTCAATCGGCCCTAGTTGATAGCAATTTTGTCTGTTAGAAGAAACAAGGAAAAAAACTTTTTATTCGTTGTCCCTTTGAAATAATAGTCAAATTTTGGTACTTTTTTACGACAAACATTTCATATTCATTGATAAGGTTTTCTTTAATGATATCATGCAGATGACAATCTGTAATCAAGCTTCAAAATTAAAATGTAACTAAAATATCAGGAACTGAACAGAGTTGGACCTCTAAGACATGTTGTGGAATCAGGTGTCATAGAGAAGAAAGCGTCTACTGGGGATAGTAGAATAACGTATAAAAACATTGTTTGTGTATTTACATCAGATATACATGTCCGCGCATCCGTCTGTTACGCTTTGGGGTACCCATCTCTTATCTGCAACTCTCTTTATATCACTGAATGAAATTTAATTATACTTTCACAAATTCTTTGCTGGCGTCTCCAAATTCTCGAGAGGGACGTTAATCAACAAACAAACAAAGATTTGTTGAATCAAATGCCATTTTGACCTCCTTTTTGACATTTTGATTTGACATATTTTTAGAGTTTTTTCAAAGGAAATCATGGACACTGCCATTCTTTCTTTAATAATGAAGGACACCCATCTCTCATTTTCAACTCTATTTGAATAAAATTTAATGATATTTTTCAGATTCTTTATTACTAACGCCATTGTGCACCTTCTATTTTACTTTTTGATATGACACTTAATTTGGGCCTCCAAGAGCTAAACATGAACTTTGCAATTATAACCATATGGGAGGCGAGCTGGGTATCTTTTTGTGAGCTCATTGCTCAGAGTACATGTACATGTACCTCTAGTCTCATAGTAATTTCACATTGATTATTTATAATTAATATGATACCAAGTCATTTATTTGTCTTTTAGTTGTATAATGATGTTTTGGTGAAATAATAATCTAAAGAAGTAACTTTCCATATGAAGACTTCATGTTAATTTATTTTACATTACTTTTCCAACCTTATTTCCCTCGTTATCAAAACTAAGCCACACAAAAGTGTTGTCCCATTACCGCCTGCACTTCGTTATATCGCATATTTTCGTTAAGTCAAGTTTTTCTGGGGGGGGGGGGGGGAAGCCTGTTTGGGGGGAATTTGATTTCGAACCGACGGTTTAGGAAAGTTTTAAGTTGTGCGTTTGAAATTTTTATATTAAATTTCACATTTCCTGAAAAGCATGAATAAACGAGTATTTTTGTCCCACGAAAACGCCGAAAAATTAAACTTCACGGCCCTGAATACTAGTACGTGGTTTTACAGTACACAGAAATACCTACCCATTATATCTGGTTTTGTAGCTATGGATGGTACCATTGGGGTACTGTTTTAGATTCACAAAAACCGTCCTGTCCTCAGAATCAGGTTGTCCTGTCAGAAAATGGTACCAAATCCCCTCACACTGAAATAGTAAAATTTTACAGTGACATTGTGCATATAATTACATTTAATTGATATTCAGTAAGTAGCTAGTAGAGTTTTATATCCAGAAGTATTTTTAATGATGGTGTATATTATAAATTTTCAATTTTTTGCATGTCTTTGATATATATAATTAAAGTTTTCTTATGAACAATAATTAATAACGTTTTTGATAAACATTGACATTCTAAAATTCTAAAATTAATTAGAATTTGGAGATTTTCATAACCATGACATCGTGCTTATATTTTGACTTTAAAGATAAAATTATATATGAAAATTGATAATCTGCATCCGGCTTTCTGGAATTGTTAGTCACTGTATGTGTTTTTCTTTAAATTTTTGCATGTGTTTAATTATGTACCGTTACATTTACGTGTACGGACAAAAATAAATAAAATTTATGATATATTTGATACTTTAAAACAAATTAAAATTTGGTATTTTTTCGCCTAAGGGTTGAAAAATGACAAGATAGAAAAACAAAAATGAAAAAGCATTTCAACAATCGAAGTATCTGTTACTAATTATTTGATGAATGATTTCAAAGTTAGCAAGGAGATTGTCGTTTCAAGTAAAAATTTGATTCACCAGTTAAACCCTCTCTATTTAGAATAGGAGTGGAACAGTTATTTATTTTAGGTTGTGGTTTGCGACATTGCAATGATCGAGGTGCAATTGCACTTACCACCTCATTTTTTTTTTTATGAAACAGAAAAGATTAATTGTTACAAAGGTCAAAGGCTTTATTTTTGCATAGAACTTCAACTGTGGGAAGCAATTACATGCATTCAAAAAAGGGATTAGCATTTTTAAGAGAAATAAAATTAAATCAAATTTTGCAGTCAGAATATAAGAAAACAAATAAATTAAGAAATACACATAAATAATAAACTGAATGAAAAAAATATAGTTATACAGGAAAAAAAATATTAAAGATAAATCACTCTGTAAAACTCAATATGATTTTTTTATAATAGGAATATGAAACATCAAATAAAAGATAAAAAATAGAGACGCATGTGTTCATTAGATAAAATAAATCATTATATATATACATGTATGTGTACGAGTGATAGAAATAAAGATGGCCAACTGCAATAAAATAAGATTTCTGCATTGCCAAACTTATGTCTTTGAAGCATTTTGTAATCTTTTAAATTAAGATCCAATCGGAAAAATTATTGTACTGAAGTCTTTGAAAAATGACATTAATGATCAATTTTATTAAAACTGGAATAATCATGGCCAAAGAAACACAAAATATGCATTTGCACTGTCAATTAAAAAACCGAATCGAAATCAAAGGTTATATGCATGCTTAGAATTTAATTGATACCTAAAATTTAATTTAAAACAACACTCAACAACATAAAACCGAAAGCATTTTTACTATATACATACCGATTGTAATAAAACTGCGCTGATCGTCAACTGCAATATTAATGAAATTCTGTGGCCAGACATGTTTGTGGTTTGCAGGTTTATAACTCCTCGTCGCTGCCTTAACGTTTCTTGTGAAGTCACCAATACACAATGTATATGTATTCACCAGAATATACGATATAAATAAAAGGTGCATATTTTGCTCTGTATTACGTCATGATCTAGTTGCTTATTCATTCCGTTTTAGAAGGTGATGACACAGTAATATTGGTAATGAGAGCTAAAATTGTATACTTTTGGCGTATCAAAAGATTTTAATTAGCCGTTGATGACATGCACAATTAATTAAACAAATTATTATCTTTGGCGGATCCAGAAATTTTAAATAACTGTTGATGCTATTTTTGACTTTTTTTTAAATCATGGTAATGGATCTTTTCTGCAAAGCACAAATTAAGTTAACTTTGACAAATATAGACCCCGAAATTGAATTGAAAAGCAATAGAATATAACCTTTGAGGGCGTTGTCTATGTTTTGCACTGAAATTTCATCATAAAAAAGATACAGGCCCAATACAATATTTGCTTCCTCGTCTAAATTGAGCATTTTGTGGAACACGTGCATGTTTCAATTTAAACAAGATATTTCATGTTTATAATTTTTATAACTAATGAGAAAAGGACGATTAACAGTAGAAAAAATCGCAAGAACAATCTTTATTTAAGTAGTGGGAGAGAATACATCATAGTTTTTAAATTACGCTCGCTCGTTCTGATTTGTTGGATTAAAAATTTTGCATGTAATATTTCTTTTAATGCATATGATTTATTACCCAGTGCGATTTTTTTTTCGTACGATGAAAAATAGCTTATGTCATCTAATGAACCTGTCTTCAGACTTCTTTACTCTAAACCTTTTCTGCTCATTTACGTATAAATGTCGCATTTGTCGTCTGTTGACGTTAGATGTAGGTAAATCTTGACCCATTGTTAATATCAGCTAATACAAACATCAATAATTTATAGGTTTCTGGGTTAAGAATATATTCTTAACTGAATTTTGTCTTCTATTTTTATTTTCCTTTAAGCTTGACGAATTCAGAACATTTATCAGAAAAAAAAATCTTAATTACTTGATTAAATACTTAATTAGGGAAACTCTAAACCCTACCAACTGTAAAGATTTCCAATTCCATTATTTATGTTATGCACGGAAGCCCGTTGAGTCCAGTTCAGAGAGAGAGATATTTCTTATTGCGTTTAAACGCAAAAATTATTGCGTGTAATCGCAAAACTTTGCGTTTTATCGCAATAATTATTGCGTTAAAACGCAAAAATTTGCGTTTAATCGCAATAATCATTGCGTTTAAACGCAAAACTACGGAAGCGTAAATGGCTCTACACTTGTTGTGTTATAACTTTATATATTGTCTTATATTTTATCGACATATCAACATATAAAGTGTTATACCTCCTTATTTATGGACATATTTTGAATTGTATTGAGCTGTATTTACATAATTAAAGGCAACTTCTTTTGTTCAATAGATTTTATTGCTTTAACTTTTATCGACTGAAATATTATACTAATTTTGAAATATCGATAGAAACAAAATATTTAATCATGTCAATATAGTATTGTCGATATGAAGAAGTAAATATGAGGTTATATCGATATAGATATATGAATATTTTCGAGAAGAAGTCAGAAAAAGGTGTTTTTGAATTAACTTGGCGGGAGCGGGAATTCTAATTAATCTTCATTTCACTTGGGAAGCTTATGTACCATTTATTTCTTTCGGGTACTATTATAGACTGAAACAAAATCAAAAATATTTTCAAAAAGGTAGATAGAGAGACATTAACAGTTAGATTTATAACCATTGTCATAGAGGGTTATTGTACCCATAACCACCTCTGAGGAGGGGATCTGTTATATTCTATCATTGTTCACTGCCTATATCTTTTGAGTTCAGTGGGGGATTGTTAATCGCTATAATGAAGCGAAAATAGAAAGTAACACTATATATTATCAAAGTACTCAGAAGTACAGAGAGCCGGGCTCATTTACAGAGTAGAATGGATTTCTTACATGAATCACGTTTATATTCTGATGAAAAAAATTATTTTAAAACTATCAATATAAACGGTAAGACACTGACAGTGAGTTTTTTAATCCTAATACCACGGTCCGATTTTGTCAGAATCAAAATTAATCTGGTACCGCAGCTGAATGTAAACAAACAGGCCAGTCTGGTTCCCTCTCCTGCTTTACTTCGTATGTGTAGAGAACTACGGTAACACTGATTATCAAAAATCCTTACGCTAATGAACTATGTTCTTTGACTTATGAAGTTTTCAAAGTCATTACTACTAATGTTTATTTTATATAGATAAAACTTCGTTTTATTTTTGCTGCTTTATTTAGCGTTTGTATTATCTCAAAAGCGGTTGAGAGTAAGAACTATATTTTTGCACGTAACTTTAAAATGGCGACTATGGGGTCAACATCCTGCCTTGAACAGGATCACATAAGCCGGCAATTGCTCTTTGAGCAATAAGCCCGGCTAATAAAAGTAACACTGATTATATATGTACTTTGTAAGTATTAGATGTTGTTCCACTCTGTGTTATATATAAGATCTGACTCATGAATGCGAACCTCAAAAGTCTTGACCCCCCCCCCCCCCACCCTTGCATAAAGATATAAACACCAGATCTAACTTCTTATGCTTTAAATGACATAAAATAATTTGTGATTTCATACAATCTGTATAAGATTAGTCCCAAAGTTTAAAGGAGGAAAGTGTGGTGTCAGCCAAAATAAATATATAACAAGCAAAACACCCCAAGGATTTGATAATCTAACTGCGAGAATTTTCTAAAATTTGGGGACATATCAGTGGATCTCTGTTGTACTCATTTTTTTTAAAGCTGGATGAGGGGCACAAAGATACTCAAGATTGTCTCCCCCTCTTCAAAAGTAGTGATCGGTGCAATAGTCCACTATGGATCTATAACTTTCAATGTGTCTTCATCTCCCTTTTTTCAATACTGGAGTATACATGTACTTTTTCATTTGATTCAGCCTTTAATCGCACATGATACATAAGCTTTCACTGAATCCCGAGTGAAGTGGAGGTTCATTGGAATTCCGCCCCCGCCAAGATAATTCCAAAACACTTTATTCTGACTTCTTTATCACAAATATTTATAAATTAAAATCGATACATCTATATCTTTATTTCATCATATCAACAATACTATATCTTTATCTTTTAAATAAAAAGATTATTGCGTTTAAATGCAAAAAAAATTGCATTTAATCGCAATATTATTGCGATTAAACGCAATATTATTGCGTTTAATCGCAAAAGTATTGTGTTTAATCGCAATATTATTGCGTTTAAACGCAAAAATCATTGCGATTAAACGCAAAAATATTATCGCGTTTAATCGCAAAAGACTGCGTTTAATCGCAATTTTTGCGATTAAACGCAAAGTGTTTTGCGTTTAAACGCAATAATTATTGCGTTTAATCGCAAAACTTTGCGTTTAATCGCAATAATTATTGCGTTAAACCGCAATAAAAATATTTCTCTCTCTGAACTGGCCTCAACGGGCTTTCGTAGTTATATGTGCAGTTACAGTATATAGATTATGAACAGCTCTTTGAGAAAATAGATATACTCGAGTATATAATGAGTTATGCCCAGTAACATTAAACAATTCAATTTTTAAAAATGATTTACAGTTTTAGAATTCTTATACTCTCTCTCACTCTCTCTCTCTCTCTCTCTCTCTCTTTCTCTCTCTTGATCTCGAAGGGAACAAGACAAAAAAATGTTTCAAATTAAAGACACCTGCATTAATTTATATCCATCATTTCATCCAATGAACGATTTGTTTCAATAATTTGTAAAATATACAGGGAAAATCACTTATGATGCGCAATTTGAATATAGTATTAATTTCCTTTTTAATTAAAAAAAAATGTATGCATCTGGTTATGTAACACATCGAATAAATTAAAGCCTCGACTTATATTTACCTTTTGCAAAATCTGCATATGTTGACATATATAACTGTTTTCATCAAGTTAATTCAATGCATGTGTTAGGCCAGGACTATAGCCGAGGGAAATAGTCTAAATTGAGGGGAACTGGAATCTTCCCTCAATGATACACTTTTTAGCTCACCTGAGCCGAAGGCTCAAGTGAGCTTTTCTGATCAAAATTTGTCCGTTGTCTGTCGTTGTCGTTGTTGTAGTTGTTGTAGTTGTTGTCGTTGTCGTTCTCGTCGTCGTCGTAAACTTTTCACATTTTCATCTTCTTCTCAAGAACCACTGGGTCAATTTCAACCAAACTTGCTACAAAGTATTCTTGGGTAAAGGGGATTCAAGTTTCTTCAAATAATTATGAGTTTGAGAAAAATTAATGCCATTTTTAAAAAATCTTCTTCTCAAGAACAACTGGACCAGGAAAGATGAAACTCATGTGGAATTATCCTCAGGTAGTGTAGATTCAAGTTTGTTCATATCATGACCCCCGGGGGTAGGGTGGGGCCAAAATGCCGATCAAAGTTTTACATAGGAAATATAGGAAAAATCTTTAAAACTCTTCTTCTCAAGAACCACTGGGCCGGGAATGATGAAACTCATGTGGAATCATCCTCAGATAGCGTAGATTCAAGTTTGTTCAAATCATGACCCCCCGGGTAGGGTGGGGCCAAAATGGCTGATCAAAGTTTTACCTAGGAGTATATATGAAAAATCTTTAAAAAAAATTCTTCTCAAGAACCATTGAGACAGGAAAAATGAAACTCATGTGAAATTATCCTCAGATAGTGTAGATTCAAATTTGTTCAAATCATGACCCCCGGGGGTAGGGTGGGGCCAAAATGCCGATCAAAGTTTTACATAGGAAATATAGGAAAAATCTTTAAAACTCTTCTTCTCAAGAACCACTGGGCCGGGAATGATGAAACTCATGTGGATTCATCCTCAGATAGTGTAGATTCAAATTTGTTCAAATCATGACCCCCGGGGTTGTGTGGGGCCAAAATGGCTGATCAAAGTTTTACCTAGGTGTATATAGGAAAAATCTATTTAAAAATTCTTCTCAAGAACCTTTAAGACAGGAAAAATGAAACTTATGTGAAA